TGCATGGTGACTATGGGTAATACTACACTGTACATGTGAAAGATGCTGAGAATAATCTTAGTATTTTCATCACACACAAGAATTTTCTAAAATGTGAAATGGATGTACTAACTACATTTACTGTGGTATCATTTAGCAATACATACAAATATTGAATCAGTATGTTACACCTGAAATTAGTTATGTACAATTAAACTACCATCAAAACAAAAACCAGCATTGGAAACACATTAAAGCTAAAATAAGTTAGGAAAGTGAGAACTGCAGTTCTAAAAAAAGCCAAGTTATCTTCTCCCTTCAGAGACAAATGCAGGCTTGACAAAATCTTTTGTGTCTGTGATGTAAAGAACAAACTTTTACACTGAAGCCTGCTAAGTATGTCCAAGGACCCCACCCCCCAATCAACAAGCTATTTCCAACTGAGGAAGATATTTGAAACCTACAGCATTCTCATCACAACAAGTAATCCAACTCCACAGTTCAAGAAATTGTCAACAGAACCCTTAGATCCCTTTCTTCGAAAACATGAGCCTGTGAAATGATCTAGCTTTGATCCAATTTGGTGTTCTTCCTTCCCAGTTCAGTGAACATCAAATGATGGCTGGGGCAGCACAAAGCTGAATCTGGGCCACCAGGGGCTTCTTCTTGGACTCCCAACAGAGCCAGTGGTGGATACTGGCACTCCTCAGCCTTGTCTACACTATCCAGTTGTTCAATGAAACCTCCTGAAGACATTTTTTCTACATACACTGGAACATATAATATGTACTTTCAACATCACCAACTTTATTGTTACTACTTTCATTAGTTAACACTAAATGAAATTATTTGGAGTAAAGCGCTCTGAAACTGCTCCTTGTTTTTGACTTTTAGAACTATGAGGATGGGGCCTTCCCTAGTGGTACAATGGGTCAAAGAGAACTATGTAGCTCTATGTAGCTGCAGCCACTGCAGCACTAGTTTGATCCCCAGACAGGAAGCTGACCCACATGGCACAGTAGACTTCTTCTGACCACCACTTCTCTCCTCAGCAGTTTCAGCTGATCTGCCTGTTCTGTCCCCCACTGTGTCTCTGGTGAATCCTCTCATTCCCCTGTACATCTGGGCCTATACCCCAGGTTCTTTATGCATAAATCTTTAAAAAAAAAAAAAAAAAGACGAGGGTACTTCTCCAAGACTCATCAAAGGGACAGGGTCCATTGGGAGAATACCTCTGGGATAGAAAAGGTTTTAAGGTATGTGACCTCCTTGCACCTCTACTTGCTTACTCGTGAATTTCCTTTTAACTTTGAAAGGTCATTCAATCAAACAATATTTTAAGTGGCTTGGCCCATAGTAGGAATTTCAGAATGGGAGAGCTTTTTTTAGTAGTTACATAAGAGCACAGGTAGCCAGTGTAGCACGAGGGGCCCTTATTATTCCCCTACCTGGCCATACTATTAGTGTTTGATGCATAAACCCCTCCACTTGAAAGCTGGCAGGACCTGAGAAGGCTTGGTACTGATACAGCTGGCTAGATGCAGTCAGCCTGCCCTGGCAGACACACTCACTGCCTCCCTCTCCCTTCCATGCCACAGAAAATTAATGCTGCAACCATCTGAGTTAAGTTTGAATGACTGTCAGGTCACCTCAAGAGAATGCTGTGTGGGTGACACCCTGCTGTGGCCTGAGACCCAGAGCTAGGGACCCAGCAAAGCTGTGCCTGGAGAGAGACAAAAACAACTTTCCTTGGAACACCAGATCTTTATCACAAATCCAGATAACATAGATACAGCCTTCTTTCCAACTATATCTTCTAAGTTCACGTTTTTAGGTGGTTTTTAACTGCCCAGAATACCCACAAGCAGATTTCAAACACATTGTGTGAAACAAAATGCAGATCCTGTGAGCTGAAATTTACCCCCCCAAGATTTATTTATGCATACAAGAGCTGGGGTGTAAGCCAGAAGTGCAGGGAGGTGGGAGGACTCATCAGAGACAGAGCAGGGAGCAGAATAGGAAGAGGTACTGAATTACACTGCTGAGAAGAGTGGTGAGACAGCAGAATGTAGGTAAGCTGCACCATGTCGGTAAGCTCCCAGAATCATGCTGCAGTGGCTACCAATAGCTTCAGTGCTGAGAATTAACCTCTTGCACCACCAGGATAGCCCCTCACAGGATCTGCCTGTCATAATAATCTGCTTTTTAAACTCTGATAGACCCTTCCTGGTGGCGCAGGTGGTTAAGAGTGCAGCACTGCAAAGCTGGCCACACTGCCGCTTCTGCATGGTAGCATCAGTTCGAACCCCTCCCAGGTGATCCACTTGGCACAGCAAACCTCTTCTGTTTCACCTACTGCTCCCCTCCAGCAGTGTACTTCGTCAATCTGCCCGTTCTGTTCCCCACTCTCACTCTGGTGAGTCCTCTCACCACCCCTGCACCTCTGGCCTGTACCCCAGTTCTGTATGTATAAAAAAAAAACTGATGGGGGCCTCAATGGTAGTTGAAGGATTCAAGTGCAGCACCATGTAGCTATGGACAGCCCCAACAAAGGTGAAACCGCATGGTGCAGCAGACCTCTCCTATCTCAGTGCTGCTCTCCTCAGCAGTGTATTTCCATTAATCTTCCTGTTCTGTTCCCCAATGTCTGGTGAATTCTCTCCCTGCCGCTCTCCCCAGCACCTCTGGATGTATCCCAGTTCTTGTATGCCATGAATAATCTCTTAAAAATAAGACTGATAAGTGATTGTACTTCTTCGGATTCTCCTAACTTTTAAGTATTGTGTGACTTATTTCACAGAAGCCTGGAGGCTCACGGAGGCTGCATGACTCCATGCCAAAACCACCTTCCCTATAACCTACTTCTCTAAGTCTCAGTTCTAGTCCCCACGAGGGGCAAAGACAATCACAAGAAAACCACATCAGACATTAGACACTGGTGATATTCTTTCATTGTTAAAATCATCTTATCCACTAGAGTGGCCAGTTATAGTGTCTTGTAAAGTCTGTATTTCTCAGTAAAGAGAATGATTTTCTTTTTAACGCTGTGACTCATTAAATCAAGATCCGTGAAGGCCAAAACCATCAGTTTTTTTTTTTTTACCTAAGAATACCTTTTAAATAAATCCACAGGAACAGCTTTTTATTTTCTAGTAAGACTAAATTTATTCAATACCCTAGTAAAAGTTTTGATTATAAGTATTCAACAGTATAAAAAGTACAAAACAGATTTATAGATTTCTAATATATTAATACAAAGTGCATGACTACATACAGTACATCCTACAGGCAAAGAGAGGTGGAAGGGGGAAAGACGACTGTGGTTGAGGTCTAGTAATAAATAAATAAATACAGAAGTAGAGATGATCCATATTATAGTATATTCTACCACCAATACTGCAGCCAAGATGTTTAAAAAAAAAAAAAAAAACCATTCAAAACAACTGAGGAAGATGGTAATGGCTGGGACCCTTGTCATGCACCCCCCAGGCTGGGAGAGCTGACGTGCCCACCCACTGTGTAGGCCTTATATATGGCGGCTTGTAGTTTTTCCATGAGGAATATAAAAATTTGTTTAGATTAAGAACTATAAAACTATAGATGCCCATAAAAAGTGGCTCACTCCTTATGTTATTTATACTATCCAATGTTTAAAATCCAGTTTAAAAAATAAGCACTGAGTCAGATTATTACACGGTAGGCAAATGATCCTCATATCATGAAAAGTCTTGACTGCTGATACATTTTTCCTGAACTTTTAGAAAAGAGGCAATGAGAGTACTTTGGTTTGGGTTCAAGTAAGAAGCTTTCAGTGAAGACTTTGGAACTGAAAAGCTCCACGTTCAAGTTTTATGCATCATCTAACATCTCAATGTTCAGAAAGCCTTACTAAAAGAAACCAAACCAAAATCAACCCACACTCAGCATTAACACACACCTCTTTTCTTTTAGTAAAATTGTACTTTAATAGAGTGAAAAAATAAAAAAACAAACAAAACCCCAAACCCTTAATAGCTTAAAACAACAAACACCCACTCTACACAGATAAAACCTTCACAAAGGTCAACTGAAGTAATCCAGAGCTAAAACTGAATTGTGCAGGTTTCAATGAAGTTGCCAGTCCTGTGACATAGTCAATTATGTGCACTCTCGGCAAGGCCTTGGAGAATGTGCCCTGAGGAACATTAACCTTTGTGCATGCCACCCTGAAAACTTGCATGTTATTTTTATTAATCGGACATTTTTAATAGAGTGTATTCTCCACCAGGGGGGTATGTGTTGGTGTTGCTCATCCAGGACTGCTTAGACTTGACATTTCTCCAGTAGGAGCTTAGAATCTGTTTTAGAAGATTAATATAGTTTAAGATCTTTATCAGTTATTGGAGGGAGGTGACACAGGACACAAGATATACAGTCAAGTTATCTGTATAGTCAGAAATGACTCCTGCAAGGTCTTTGTACCAGAGAGTTCAGTCTGTCCTGCTTAATATTCAGTAGTACAGGTTTGAATCATCAGAACCTTGGCCAAGACCTTAGTATTTCCACGTTATTAACTACTACCTCTAGGACAAGTCCATGGTACTGAGTTATGACAAATTTATTATCACGAAGGAAAACAAGTGTAGCCAGCCATCTTAAAAAAATGCCCCAACCACTGCTTCTCAATATAGAAAGACTAAAACTACATACATTTATCATACAACAAATCCCACCTCTGACCCCTGAAATTCCCCTAGTTTCATTCATTAGAAGGGGATTAAAAAAAAAAAAAAAGACTTAAAGAGCACTTTACAGCAGCATTCAGCTTTCCTATGAAATACTCAGCCTCTTAAATATTATGTACATCTTTCTCATTCTTTTAGTAAGCTAGAAACTGGCTTCAAGAGTTTGTGAACCTGGAGGAAAAATAACCCATTCAAAACTATTCTAGAAATTGTCTTTTGGCAGAATAGCAGGTATCCAAGTTAAAAATAGGAGGGTCATTTTGTTGCTTTGTTTTCTTTCCAAATTGTGAATTATGCTTGTTCCCCTTCTATAAAACCTCAGTCACCACTCCTGAGTGGGGCTGGGCAGAGGTTCTGGCCCCTGCACCTCTGGTTTCTCCGCAGCTGCTTTCTTGTTGCTGCAGCAAGGCTTGAAGAGATGTGTGTCGATGAGCACTTCCCCAAATCGGCCTTTGTATATAATCCCACAACAAATTTTCTGTCTAAAATGGAAAAAAAAAGAGGAGAGAGAAAAAAATACAGTAAGGCAGAAGAAAAAATTTCATTTTAATGAGTACAAATGTGACTGAATCACATTCAGATGAGAGGGAATAACCTGGCCCTAAAAATTCCATATTGAAGTCTAGTATTAATGGGGGGAAAGACTCTGAGACATCAATTTCTGAAGCGACTCTCTTTTTAAAGACTGTAAACTATTTCCTACCAGAATACCAATTTTGAAGAAAGAAAGTCACCATAAATAGACAATGCTAGCTTTAATTAAATGTAGGATTAAAAAAAAAAAAAAGCATGCAGTTGTCAAATACACAAAGGCTTTAGTCCTTTATATGCCCCTCCCCAAGCCTACCTCACTGCCTAAATTTTATGTTTCTCAACCCCCTTCTCTTTATACTTCATGGTTTAATCCCATTTTAATCCTACCCACCTAGAGTTGATAATCCCACTATAACTTTAGTCACCCCTAAAACTTAATAGCTGCTGCTGACTGGAAAGCTTACAAATAATTGTCAATTAACATATATTTTGCATGTTATATGTATAATATATATTGTATTTTCACAACAGAGCTAGTGTTAAGGAAAACCGTTAAAGAAATTACATTAACAGTGTTGCACTCATCAATACAAGTTTACCTGTTTGTTCAAAATCTGTATCTAAGTGGACACATGCAACGCAAGCTTGTATTGGTCAAGAGACAAATCTATAAACCCATGCTATAGACACAAAATATAGATTTAAAAAATCACATATACATATGTATGCAAACACATATGGAATCACATTGTGCTACAGTTTTTCCAGCTTATCAAGGAGGCTCACACATATTATTAGATTGTTCATTTTAACCTATGTCTAGTAATCTACATGTGAACACAGCGATCTACTTATGATGACAGTTTCTGCTATTACAAACACATTGCCCACAGTTAGAGATGTGCCTCTAGGTTATGCTGCTGGGCTACAGGAGTGAGAGCAGGGCATTTTCAACTCTTGACTTATCAATGTGTTATGCTTTTAACCAACAGTGTTCTCATCACCTTAGACACTCCAGAACTTGGCATGGTTTGTTTTCACTAATTTGATGGCTATAAAAATGGCCACCAAAGATTTCAGAGATCTTAGTTTATTATCTCCAAAAGGTTGAAGATACATTCATGGACTGTTTTTTCTTTCAGTTTTATTTTTGTGAACTGGGGTGCAGGCCAGAGATATGGAAGGTGAGAGGATTCACCAGAGACAGACTAGGGAGCAGAAAACGGAGATTTATTAAAATGAGCTGCTGAGGGGAGCAGCAGGTAAGACAGGAGAGGTCTACTGTACCACATGTGGGCTATCTCCTAGGCCCCTTCATGGGCTATTTAATGGACTGTTCAGGTTCCTTCCATAAAGTATCTACTTTCTCAAAACGTGCTCATTTTTATATTGGCTTTTCATTTCCTTTGTAGAAGGCCTGTGCATTCTTGATACTCACCCTTAGTTGCATGTATGCGTTAGATTATCATTTCTTCATAGTGTTATGTGAAGAATTAAAGTTCATCATTGTAATGCATCAAACTTGGGGTCTGCTTCTGCACTGAGTTTTAACACTCAGTTGTGTTGGGCTTCCCCATGCCCACTGATTTCTACTCTATTTCTACTTGTATCTCTAGCTTGAATTTTTCTTTGTAATGGGTTTCATCAAGCTTTCAGCTATATTATTTTACTCTTCTTTTGTAAAGAACCATTAAAAGCAGTTATTACTTATCCTCTACATACTTATAGTATTTTCAATCATGAAAAAATTTAAATTTATACTTTCTTGCTGAAATCATAGCTTCTCAATCTACATTTATATCACCACTCTGTTTTATTATGTATATTTTTTTAAATTTTCACATTTCCTTTCTTTCCTAGAGGCTTTACATTTTTTATTTTTAATCATTAAAAAGCTTCATAGGTAGGGACCTCCCTGGGGGTACAAAGGGTTAAAGCACAGTACTATGAAACTATCCACAACCAATGCAGTATGAGTTCCATCCCTGCCAGGGAGGTGACCCATATGGCATGGCAGACCTCTCCTGCCCCGCCCACTGCCCCCCTCAGTGTATTTCAGTAGCGCTACCTGTTCTGTTCCCCACTTTGTCTCTCGTGAATCCTCTCACCTCCCACCCTTGCACCTCTGGCCTGTATCTCAGTTTTTAGAAGCATAAATAAATCTTAAAAAGAAGGAAAAAAGAAGCTACATAGGTGGCCTTCCCTGATGGCACAGCCAGTTAAAAGCACAGCACAGCGATGCTGGTCACAGCCACTTCAATGTGAGTTCGATCCCCACCCTAAAAGTAATCCACATGTTGTGGCAGACTTCTCCTGTCTTGCCTACTGCTCTCCTCTGCAGTATACTTTGTGGATCTGCCTGTTCTGCTCCCCACTGTCTCTGGTGAATCCTCTCACTGCCCCTAGACCTCTGGCCTATAACCCCAGTACTGTATGCAAACATAAATTAATTAAAATAAATAAATAATGAAGCAGCTATATAGGTAATGAATGCAAAGGATATGAGGAAACAAACTCTGAATGCAATTATTATTACCTTTACACTTAATGTTACTGCTGTCGTGCATATTTTTTTTAAAATCCCACTTCTTTCATTTTTAGCAATGTTTGTTTTATTTTTATGTTTATGCTATGTGTGTGTGTGTGTGTGTGTGTGTGTGTATTTTTTTAACCTTATGTGTACATGAACCAGGGTATAGGTCAGAGGTAGGTGGAGAAGAGGTACAGGATTCACCAGAGACTAAGTGGGGAGCAATACAGGCAGGTCTACTGAAATCCACTGCCGGTGGGAGCCAGCAGACGAAAAAGGAGAGTTCTGCTGTGCTGTTGAGTCAGCTCCCTGGCTGAGGGGGTCGAAATCATGCTGCAGTGGCTGGCAACAGCTTGAAAGCAGAGATTTTAACCCCTGAGCCACCAGGGCCCATGGTATCTATTATATTTATGCTCCTTATAAAATTATTTAGCAGTATTTATTTAAATTTACCTAAATATTTCCTATTTTATTTATCCTCAGAATTTCAGTCTGGGATCCCTTTTTCCTTACCCACAGAATTTTTGCAATTAAAGTTAGTTAGAAACAAAATCTCAGGTTTTATTTTTCCCCCTACTCAAAATGTTGATGTCCTTATTCACAATTTCTGCTACACAGGTATAATTCTAGCTGGAGTTATTATCACTTGGCCATTGAAGTTTTAATCTATTGGTTTTTGGCTTTATTTATGCTAAGTGCTCAAAAGTCCTTTTGGACTTGCTATTTTCTTGAAAATAACATCTATTATCTCACTGCTTAAAGATATATTTTGTCTTTAACATTCCATGGATCCCTGTATCTATAGGTAATTTTTTTTTCTCCTGTAAGAGGATTGCTTAATATATTGCTTGCCAGTCTTCCCAAATCTGCACTAGAAAATCCTTAATCATTTTTCTTCCCCCAGGCTATATCTCTTTTGCCTTTAGGGTCTCGTTCATTTAGCATGTGGTCTGCTTCCTTATTAACTTGTCCACAATCAGTGACATTTTTAAAAACATAAAAATGTGTTCCTAGCCACATACCCCACCCACCCACCCCTACTTCTTTCATGGGAAAGTTGGTCAGAATGAGTATGTAGCCTACTTCACTATCGGAAATTTAGGGCCTCTAATGTGATTTTTACTTTATATCAATTTAAAAAGAACAAGCATACATTCTAACTCTCAGCTCAATTCTTGCCTAATCTACCTCCAACCATGTGTACTACTAGCTGTTTGCCAAATGCCATTAAACTGCTAAGGAAGTGAGAGACTGTTCCCTGTGATTAAGAGGCTTACTGGTGAGAGACATTTTCTGTTTCTTGTACCTTTTCCAGTATGTGAGGTCTAGGAAGGAAAACACGGGTGTTCTGTTAGAGCCAGAAGCCATCTCTGTGTCGGAGCCATCATCTGACTGGTTACTGTAACAGGGAGACTGGGCAGGGGAGGCACTTGAGGTGGTGCTGTGAGCATCAGAATCTGAAAGAGAAAATATGTACAACCCCATTTATAAGCAACAGCAGCTCAATCCCAGCATACAATACTGTACAAATTAGCAAAAAGAATAACGGAATTTATTTTTTATTCACTGTGAGTCTGAAAAATTCTGAAAGTGAATTTTTCTACTAGAAAACGTGGACTTAAACTTTCAGGGAATATATAAGCAGATAAACTTTCCCCTATTCCTCCTAGCTAAGACTTTAACTACACATTTATAACAATAGACCTAAAGATTAAAAAGTGGCAACAGCTAGGGAGGAGCTCAAGATTTGAAAAAAATACAGAGGTCCCGAGGGGTTCCTAGTTTCTATGGTTTTTCTTTTGTTACATAAATCTGTCTTGGAGCTGAAGAAGCCTGCAACCCAAATATGCCAAAGGACACTGACGAATGGCAACAAAAAGCCTCCTCCTTTCTAGCAAAGGCCCAGAAAAGAGGCTGCCTAACAAGACAGATTTCATTAAATAAAGCTACTCTAATATTGTCAGTCAAACACCACAAAAAAAGTTCCAGTCCCACCCACCCAGCAGGGCCAAGTTTTGTATGTGTGTAAGGGTTAGGGTAAACGTGGGGGAGCATCTAGGTTTCTAACCTCAGTAGAGGATGAGGTGGCCCCCACCCCCACCAGACCACCAGTCCACTTCCAACCAAGAGGTCAGAATGGGCAGGGGAAGTTGAGTGGGGAAGCTTCCTTCTAACAGTTGTATGGGAGGCACAAGGTAATGAGCCTCCAACCTCCCCCTGCTAAGGAAATTAAAAAGCCACTTAAAAATAGGTTTAATTGATCACTTGTAATAAGGGAGATGAAAATTAAAACCACAATGAGATACCATCTCACACCAGTGAGAATTCCACATCTTAAAACAACTAGCAACAACAAATGTTGACAAGGATATGGAGAAAAGGAACTTTACTGCACTGCTGGTGGGAATGCAAACTAGTACAACCTCTATGGAAAACCGGAGGTTTCTCAAACTGCAAAAAATGGAGCTTCCATATGACCCAGCAATCCCACTCCTAGGTATCTACCCACCAAAAGACACAAAAACACTGGTTCAAACACACCTGCACCTCCGTGTTTATTGCTGTTGTATTTACAATAGGAAAGAAGACATGGAATCAACCCAAATGCCCAAAAGTAGATGACTAGATTAAAAAGATGTGGTGCATATACACAATGAAATATTACTCAGCAATAAAAAGATAATCTTAACACATGCCTTTTGCAGCAACATGGATAGAGCTAGAATGGATCATGCTTAGTGAAATAAGCCAGAAGAAAAAGAAAAATACCAATGGTTTCACTCACAGCAGGAGTTTTATATAAAGGACCAGGGGAGAAAATAATGATAATAGTGAACAACTATATACCAGAGACATTTTACAGGGGTGACTTGGGGAATGGGATCAAAAATGGGAGGCAGAGGTTAGTGCACTGGACTATGGTGATGGCACATGGGTGATTTGGTGATGGGAAGCCCATGGGGATTACAAGTGAGATGGGAAAAGGCACAAAATGATGTAAAAATAAACCATTTACACACACACACACACGCACACACACACACACACAAAAGCAGCAAAAGAAAAAAGAAAGTTTCTTGAGCTCCAGCATCTCTTAATAATCAGAACCAGGATTACCTCAAACTGAATGAAAGGCCAGCAGATGTCAACACCAAGATGACAGAAATGTTTGGACTGTCTGACACGGATTTTAAAGTAGTCCTAACAAATATATCTCAATACTTGAAACAAATGAAAACCGTCTCTACAAGTAGGAAGTCTAAGCCCCCCAAAATAAAAGGAAGTCCTAAAGCAGAACCAAATTTGAAATTCACTGAATTGTGTTTCAATAAATGAAACAAAAAGTTCAGTGGAAAGACTCAAGAGCAGAACTGAGGGGATGGAGTTTACAATCAGTGAACTGGAAGACTAGAAATTACCCAAGTGAGAACACAGAAAAACAGTATTAGAGACCCACAGAACCAAAAAAAAAAATCTACATTCATGCCACTGCAATCCTAGAAGTAGAAGAGAAAGGGGCTGGAGGTGAAAAAGCACTCAAAGAAATAAAATGGCTGAGAACTTGCTAAATTTGGCAGGACACAGGAACCTGTGAGAGTCAAAGAGCTGAGCAAACCCCTGGGGATATACCCAAAGAAATCATTGCTAAGACACATTCTAGTTAACGTCAAAAAAATCTTAAAAGCAACTGAAGAAAAATGACACATTACGTGCAAAGGGAAAGCAACAGACCAGAATTTTATTTATTTATTTTTTAATTATTATGACTTTACTTTTTTTTGTTTTAAAAGATTTATTGATTTACTCATACAGAACTGGGGTACAGGCCAGAGATGCGGTGGGTGAGAGGATTCACCAGAGACAGAGTAGGGAGCAGAATAGGCAGATGGACGAAGTGCACTGCTGAGGGGAGCAGAGGGTGGGTCAGGAGAGGTCTGCCTGGTCATGTGGATTTCCTCCCAGGCAGGCGGGGATTGAACTCATGGGGAAGTGGCTTAAGCTTCTCAGTGCTGTGCTTTAACCTACTGCGCCACCAGGGAGGGCCAAGATCAGAATTTTAAAAGGAATAAAGGCAATTCATCAAATATATATATGTTTAACATGATATAGTAGTTTTGCGCTCAGAAGCCTTCATACAAGCCAGAAATGAACTTTTTGGTTGCTCTCCCTGCACTATGCAGCCTGTTACATAGCATTATTATCAGAAAAAGGGTCAAGCCTACCACACCCTACTTTAGCTAGGCACCCCAGCCCCATCATGGATAGAACAATTCAAGTCAGCCAGCCAATCCAGTAGCAATAAGTACCTATTGAACATCAAAACCTGTGTCATCCTGCATGGGAACAGATTGGGGGGAAATGAAAACAAAAAACAAAACACAAAAAACGGCTCTTAGAGGAGATTTCACATTATTTTGTATTACCAAAAGGTCACACAAAGCATCATTAAGATTAGGTGTCTGAGGGCCCTTCCTCGTGGCGCAGTGGGTTGAAGCGCAGCACTGGGAAGCTAAAGCCACTTCAGCACAAGTTCGATCCCCGCCCAGGAGGTGACCCACATGGCATGGCAGACCTCTCCTGGCCTGCCCACTGCTCCCCTCAGCAGTGTACTTCCTCGATCTGCCTGTTCTGCTCCCCCCTCTGTCTCTGGTGAATCCTCTCACCTGCCCCCAACACCTCTGGCCTGTACTCCAGTTCTGTGTGCATAAATAAAAAAAAAATCTTAAAAAAAAAAAAAGATTAGGTGTCTGAAACAGAGAGCACCATTAATGCTTAATATATGGATTTTCTTCTGATACATGATTAGCGTAACTTTGCAAAAAAAAAAATCCTCAAGAATATCACTTCAAAGGAGTATGACTATAGCATATTAAGACTTCTCAAATGAACAGAGCAGCTGTATATACTGCTGCAGAGAATGAGCCATCTTAAAAAGAACTTGCTATCTTTGGAATCACTCAAATTTGCAGTTTTCGAACATATTCTACCTGTGAAAGTGGCAACTTCATGTGGCTTACTCTAATACCTATAATAACATTGTAGTATACAGCTGATTATATACAAAAAATGTCATGAGAAAAATTACCTTTCTCTGAAATGTAAGGCTGGAAAGGTTCAAATAAATGTGATTTTTTAAAACCTTCAACATTAGCCAGCACTTGGAAAGTGAATGGTCAGACGCATGGGGTAAACAGAACACAGCATGCCAAACTCCAGCAGAACACAGGCACATGCACAGACAGCTCAGCACCACATCCTCTGCCGAGGTTGGCTCTTGATTCTTGCTAGGGATGTTCAACTATACTCCATAACAACCAGATGGAAGAAGGATAAGCTAAAGAGAAGAACACTGACAGGTGCGAAGGAGCACAGGTCAGGACTGGTGGGATGCAGGCAAGGAGTATCTCATCAAGGCAGGGATCCAAGCTAGCATTTGCAGCACTCCTGGTGGCAGTTTGACCTCCAACATCTCCACAAGAACCTTTATCATAAAAATCTAAAGTGGTACTGTACATATTCCCTTAGGTAAGGCAAAAGGTTCAGCTATCACTGTCCTTATAATTAAAGGAAGGAGCTAAGAGTAAGTTTGAATAACCAATCCCTCTAACCTTCAAGAGGCAGGAGAGAATTACTAGTTCCCAAATGTTTATTAATACTTCTTGTGAAAACGGATGGCCCGCCCTGGTGGCACAATGGGTTAAAAGCACAGCACTGCAAGCTAGCTGCAGCCCCTTCCAAGTTCCACCTCCAGCCCTGGAGATGGATCCACATAGCACAGCAGACCTCTTCTCTCTAGCCAGCTGCTCCCCTTAGCAGTGTGCTTAGTCAATCTGCCTGTTCTGCTACCCATTCTGTCTCTGGTGAGTCCTCTCACTACCCCTGTACCTCTGGCCTGTACCCAGGGTCGGTATACATAAACAAGCCTTAAAAAAACAAAAAACAAACAAAAAAAAAAAACTCGTGAAAATGGAGGTTAGCTTTTTTTTTTTTAAACCACTTGGTGACAGCTGCTTAAGCAAGCAACATATCAAAACACATTATGTATTTTACATTACCAAAATACTTTACTACAAGGTCTGGGAAGCTTTAGGGTCCCAGGAGAAATGATTATACTGTCCCAGAGATCAACATGGTGCTACAGGAAGACAGTGGCAGCTCTGAAGTTTGACAAACCTATAAATTCATCTCCAGCACTTACTAACTAACCTGGGGTGAGGTCAGCCACCACTTTGTCTCCTAGTGTAAGCTCAAAGCACTGAGATAATTATGTAGGTAAAGTGCTTGGTCCAGACACCAAAATGCTCCAGAGATAATAGTTCTTCCTCATTGACAGTACTTTCAACTGTCTTTCTCCATGATTCGAAAACAAGCAGACAAATGTCTGGCTTGACTGACAGTATTTTGTCTAGTAAGGGCCTACAGAACGTTTTTTTAATCCTAAAAACCCCACACAGGTTTGACAGTCCTTATAATTCTAATATAGTTCTAAAATTAAGTTTATTCCAGACCCATTTGGCCACAAAATCTGGCCTGACCTGAATACTGAGTCAAACCCAATCATACTATTTACAGTTTACTTATTACACATATATGGATACCACATTTTTGCTGCACAAATATTGATGCGTCTGACTCAACAGTACTGATTCCCACAGCAACAAACATCACATAATTACACTATATGCACTGCATTTGCTTTACAAAATCTGATATCTGAATCCCCAAATACAGATGTATCACCCCCAACAAAGACTTCCTTTAAGACTATATGAGGGCCCTCCCTGGTGGCCCAATGGGTTAAGATGCAGTACTGCAGCGAGCCACAACCACTTCAGTGCTGAGTACAAGCCTCAGCACTGATACACACGGAGTGGCAGACCTCTCCTGACCCATCTGCTGCTCCCCTCAGCAGTGGACTTCGTCAATCTTGACCCTGTTCTGCTCCCCACTTTTTCTCTGGTGAATTCTCTCACCACCCCTGTACCTCTGGCCTGCACCTCATTCTATATGTATAAATAAGTAAATCTTAACAAAAAAAAAAAAAAGACTATATGAATTTGATCTACTTATCATTCCTTCCCAATTCTATCACTTCACACAATAATGCCCCTTAAATCAAAATGTCCAGAGATCAGAGTGGTCTCAGCACAATCTGAAGTGGCTAGTTAATGAAAGTACTTCATGAAACCAGAGACAGAGGTCCAGAAATAAAATAATTTCTCCACGTCAACACTGTCTTTCAACATGCTCATTTATGAAATAAATAAAAACACACATCATGTTTTACTTGAGACAAAAATTAAAACAGAACAATCTCAAGTGTAATCTCGTATTTCAGTATTCAACTTACTGTGACGTTTAAATTCTTTCTGCAGTTTACTGATCTGGGTGCTTTTCATCCTGTTTCCAGACAGAGTTTTGACTTTCTTTGGTTTCAGTGTAGTCTTTAGACTGGGCCCTGCCCTTGCATCTACCACCTGGAAGAAAATGCTGAATATTTAATACCATTAAAAAAAAATGATACCCATTTGATTCAGACAAATGCCTATTTGAGAGAGCCAAATTTGACAACAGTTTGATAGTCACGCTTACTTTTAATCACCACATGGTCATTAAAATGGCCATTTATCTAGTTTTTTTTTCCCTTTGAAGTTAACCAAGAGCTGGAGTCTGCTGGACAAAAAACTTTAGTAGATTTACATATGGCAAGAATGACACAAGTGAAAGAAAATCAAGTCTCTGACCTTCTCACAGGGTGATATACTGCATTTCACAGAAAATTATTACTTTTTTTTTTATTTTGACACCATGCCAAAACATTAAGGAGCCTATGTTTGCTACTCCAATTTCAAGATAAAGGAAATTAAAGCAAGGAGAAATTAAATTATTTTTTTGCCATATTTCACCAAGATAGCGAATAGGCAAAGATGGGGGTGGGGGACAAATGCAAACCAAGGGTTTCAGACCCATACTTTTTTACTCTTTTTCAGCATAATTTTCAGTCGCCAGGCAAGGCAAGTGCTGGAAATATGTATGCCATAATGTAATCCCCCTCTCCTGTCTCTCATGCATTCACATTTACTGTTTGCACATTTCTGCCCTTAGTAAAAAGTTGCCATCACTTTCAGAAAATATACTTTAGGTCTTTTGTAGCTATTAAAGTAGAAAATAAACAAACAAACAAACTTACTTTATAAGTTAACAGATATTGTAAATTGTCAATGAAAACTAAAGTAAGGGTAACAGAAAAAAGGTAAAAAGGGGCCCTCCCTGGTGGTGCAAGAGATTAAAGAGCAGCATTCTGAAGCCATCTGCAAGCCACCACAGCATGAGTTCAATCCCCGGCCAGCGAGGTGGCCCACATGGTGAGGCAGACCTTTCCTGACCCGTCTGCTGCTCCCCTCAACAATGTATTTCAGTTGATCTGCCTGTTCTGCTTCCCACTCTGTCTCTGGTGAATCCTCTCACCCCCTGTACCCCAACTCCTGTATGCATAAACAAATAAATATGTAATAAAAAAAGGTAAAGAATAAATGCATGCCTACTTAAAATTAAGTATTTTGTAAACACTTTATAACTTCTCAAAGCTAATATACAGGGAAAATTAAGACTAAAAATTGCTGCTCTGGTCACTAAAATATTTTATGAAGATTTAAGGACATGAGAAAATAGAGGCACAGAACAAACCAGCACTAATATATCTTGAGAGATGAAATGGGATCCATGTCTAACTAGCAACAGAATTTGCTGGACTGACCATAAAAAAAATTGTGAAATGTACATGGTGAATCTACAAAACGGGCCTCAAGGAAATGCCAGACACACTGTTTTGCTCCTAAGCAGGACAAAGAATGAAGTGATTTATCTTGGCAACAACTAATGCCGCTTTTTAATTCTTTTTCAGACTTGTCCATCTAGGGATAGATTACTTCCTATATTAAGGGGGAAAACTAAAGTTACCTTAATTACAATAGAAAAAGACAAAAGATAAACTAACATGATTCCAGTTTTTTTTTGATCCTGCCGGTAATTTCTTCCATCTTTTCACAAGCAGAACACAGGCATTGCAGATGTCTCCTGAGCGAGTCTCATGCAACCTGGTAAGAGAACAACCAAGCCTTTGTGAGTCCTCTTTCCAATAAAAGAATTCTTGCAAGTACACTTCTTTTACAAAAAACATCCATTTCTGGTTTGTAGTTGGTGCTATTTCTAATCATCCTGGATGATGGTTCACTGTTTCTGTGGTATAGCTCACTTCTACATCCAATGAACTGGTTCTATGTGCTGCGATTTGGTCACCTTAAAATAAAGGTTATTTTAAAATTAAACAGTAAAATTTAATGCCCATGATACACCTTGATCACTGTGGTTTAAACAATGCTGTCCAAATAGTCTTTCCTGAAATGTACAGACAATTCACAGGCAATCAAGTCACACTTTTACGTAAAGTACCATAGTATTCTAGTTTCATAACAAAACCAAAGCAGCATTAGAATTTTTAAAACATGAGTAATGGGTAGGTCTTTAGGGCTAGTTAAAGTCGGTTTTTAATTATATTATTTATTATTATATATATTTAATTATATTCATTACCACACTTTTCCTGCACTATAAACACAAACAGAAAAGTACTAGCATTTGCGATGAATACAATCTATAAATGAAGAAATTAAAAAGGCAAGATTGGTACTTTTTCACAATCTTCAAAATAACTACAAAGTTCTGAATTAGTAATAAATGTCAACATATATGCTGATTAAATAATGTGGTTGGATGACAAATATTGTAAGAGAAAATGAAGCTGACCCTTAATCTCTTCATACATTCTAAAATCAACAACAAAGGATTTGTTTGGCTACAACTGGTGGTGGTGGGGGGGGGGACTTCAACCATTAATCTGGTCATCAGGCATGATCTGGAAACGAGCATCTCACCTATAAGCAGCAGGTCCCTAGATTAGAATATAAGGGATTGGCATTACTAGCACTTTGCACCAGTCTTCTCCCTTGGAAATAGTTCCATATGTTGTGATCTATTTCACTCTAAGAATGGCACAAACATCAGATGACCTTACCCAAAACAGCTCTGGAAGTCCTTTTCATAACGTTTACTGTCAGTGAATCGAGAACTAGAGGACTTTGCTCTGCAAATACAGCAGCCCTCTATACTTCGGTACATCTTTGGCTTGTGAAAACCAAACATCTTTTCTTCTGGGCAATAGTCTGTAAAGCCAAGGGAATTGACAAAGTTTTGTTGAGGTTATAATAAAGAACCATTATGAGAGTTCTGTTTTCCCCCTTACCAACAACTTGGATTTACTGACCAATCCAGACAGGGTGCTGGAGAAGAACCCCTGCACCTGCCTGCATTCTTGCCACCAGTGTGGCAAGCACATAAAATTCATCTATTTAACCAGGCCTCTCACCTGTGTCCACCCCCTTAGCTCTCACCTATGTCCACCCTCTTAGCAAACATTTACTATAAAAATGAGGCAAAGGAGGCACTTTTTTTTTAGGAGGCACTTTTTAGGTAAAAAAAATATAACACCACTCCCCACAATCCTTTCAAACTGCAAAATGAAACACAAAGGACTCACCCTAAAATTTAAAGCAAGGCACTCCCTTCTTGTCTTGTACTCTTCATTAATGTGATTCCCCCTTTGGGGAAGTCTGAGCATTTACCATGACTGCTATTAACACTGCAAACAGAAGCAGTTCCGTCTCTATCAGTCCACACACACTCTTTTGCCTTATGGGAATTAGCGGGGATTTCTTCTGTGACAAATGGGACATTCTAAGCAGGCAGGTTCTACTTAAGTTCAATTCAGGTTCTGAATTGAAACTACTGAAAGGAGAATACAAAACTCACACAAACCCAGGGTCAGTGCTGAAGGATAATTTCATCAATCACTGAAACACACTAAGAATGTGCTCATGCTAACTGAGAAGTGGTCTGGCACTCAGAGATTTCTGGAGCTTTTCTATGAGGCTCTAACCTGAAAGCAGTAGTGTTAGGCACAAGTCCAAGAAGTATAGAGAGAAAAGCTGGCCCCCATAATCCAAAACAACAATAACAACAAACCAAAACCAACACTGGGGCCTCCCTGATGTTGCAAGGGATTGAAGGGCAACACTACAAAGCTATCTGCAGCCACTGCGGCAGGAGTTCAATACCACATGGTGCAGCAGGTCTCTCTTGTTCCCCTCAGCAGTGTATTTCAGTCATTCTACATATTGTGTTCCCCACTCTGTCTCTGGTGAATCCTCTCACCTTCCCCCTCTGGCTTACACCCCAGTTTCTTATATGCATAAATAATATTAAAAAACAAAAACAAAAACCACAATCTTCAACATCAAGCAAGAAGGAAGCAGCAACTCTAAGGCTGGATGCAGCCAATGTGTTGGAAGGCAATCAACCTGCAACCTGAACATGCAAACTAAGGACCAGTCCCACCAGAAGGCCTGTACTAGGTAGGTAGTGATGAAAATGCAATTGAGTATGTAGCAAAACCCCAATTCTACCTGGAATGGGACAAGAACAGAGAAGTAGGGATGTGTGTGTGTAACATAATCAGAAAGCATCCATAAGGAAAATTATTAATATAAATTGTGCCATAATCTTACAACCTCTGGACATCCTGTAAAAGCAGAAATACACTCAAATGTGTGAGCAAAACAAAAATCACAGTATTGGCCTTGGATGATCTGTCACTATTTCATTTCAATTCTGGTAAGGCTACCAGAGCAAGTATCTATGAAAGTCATTGAGAAACAGCCAAATACCAAGGTTTGAGACTAAGGGATTCTGAAACATGACAGAGGATTCCCAAGATGTCCTTAAGAAGACATTTTATTAGCAAATAATTTAAAACCCGAAGTTCTCCTTTTAAATAAGGGCTACTGTTCATATCAAGATTTCCTCTTCAATATTTTTTGCTGATGAGGCAGCAGGCAGAGGGGGTAGGTCAGAAGGACACCGATGCACTTTAATCAAGTCTAAACTAAGTTACTTCAATTTAGGAATTATCTAAACAAGAAAAAAAACATTCTTAGTTGATAAACACAATAACTTTTCATTAGATGAAATGCCTAAGAACTTTTTTTTGAAGAGGAAAAATGAGGAAGGCATTCTATAAATAGCCAGAAAAAGGCAGTTATCTAATAAAGTGAAGCAGATAATTTTTCTTCAATCTAACAAACCCACAAGATAAATGAAAAGAAAATGGCTTCCAGAAGAAAATAGCTTGTGATGCTTTGAAACAAAAATACAAACAAAAAATAACCTCAAAGTTAAATGACAGTGTAAAACTTTTGTGCTGAGATAGTAGGTTATTGCTTTAATGTGTATTGCTGTTTTCAGGCAAAAATGTAACTTAACTCCTCCACCTTTGCACTAGCTTGTGGGCTCTCCAGGCTCCCCCTAGCGCCTTCCATTACCATCAAGAAGGTCAAAAGTCCACAGTTCCTCTTAGAGCCCTGGCTTCATCAATAGCTCTAGGAAACTCCAGCCTCCCTTCTCAGCAGACAAAGGAAGTACAGCAAGAAAGGCCGGTTCATTCCATTAATACACAGGCCCAATCCTCTTACAGCAGACAGATTCCTATCTCTGCCTCTCTAACCCCTCCTCCTCACTAACACACTTGCCATCAGAACTCTGAGGAGCATCTGGGGGAGCTGCTCCACCTTCACTGAGGCTGGTTAAGACCAGCCTTTGTTTGGATGCCCCTGTAAGCAGGCTGAGGAAAGAGATGGCTGTAGCTAAGTACTAAAGCAGTTTTTTTCTGCTCAGCAGCAGATTACAAACCAAGTGTTCATCTTCACAGCACTAGTTTTCTGTGGGTGTCTTTGAAAAACACTCCTCCTTAAGTTCGAGGGTTAATGGTTTTAAGACATCAGGGAAAATAAGAGAGCCTGATGTTTCACACTTTGTGACTTTTGTGTCTGTCCTGACAAAACTCTTCTGCCTAAACATCTGAGATCTAATCCTGGGGTGTGGTCTCTGCAGGCAGGGTTAGAAACCCACACCTGTCCTCAGCACCCCACCCTTGAATGGAGGCTTGCTTCACACTCCTAGGAAACCTTTTCTGAGCTTATTCCTGCACTAGAGAGGCACCTGGGAATCTGCAGAGAATCCACAGGGGTTTCTTTTTGGGCCTTGTTTACAGTTAAGCAGCAGTTAGCAGTTAACAATTTTGAGCTCTGGGGATCCTGGAGGTCCACAGCAAGTACCTCCACAAAACACTAATGTTTTTAAAATAGAAAACTTGCCAAATTTCTGTAGCAAAACCAAGACACAAAATGGTTACTTACTGATTTAAGCAGGTAGGGGGGTGAGCTGGCACACAAGTGGGGGATTTCTCTTGTTTCTATAAACCTTCTATCTTGGATTACTTCTTTACCCAGCCCACATTTCTGCATTATTAAATGTCCCCACAAGAATCTACTGGTTCAAATGACACTGTCACTTGTTTCTACTCTCACAGGCATCACATCACTTGGTACTATGTTTTACAGGAGGAAACCAATACCATCTGCTTCCTAACTGATGACTGGTGCCAGACCTGACTCCATACACTCTCCCCTTAGTCATGTTTGGAGAAAAGAAAATTAAGTTTTGTGATAAAGCCAAAAAAATCAGGAAAGAATTAAAATGCTGATTTAAAAATTGTTACTTGTCTTCTAAAATTAGGCAGATGATGGTTGCAAAAACTCTAAATATACAAAAGTCACTTGTCTATTTTAAGATTTAATTTTGTTACGTGAATTATATCCCAATAAGTTTGCCTTTTAACAAAAACAAAAGTAGATTGGGCTGAGAAGTCTTTTTATGCACCTTTGTATAGCCTTAGCATCTAGAATAGTGCCTATCAGTACCATGTTTACTAAGCTTTTAAACAGCTGCCATATTTGTAAAATATGTTACAGATATGACCTCATTTCTTTTTCTACTGTCAGCCAAATAGCTACAAATTTCTTAACACTAACAACTAAAGACAAATCAACTATGCTAAAATTACCGTTCTATCCAATTTAATTCAGTCATCCCAACTTAAAAAGATTAAATGGCTAAGTCAGAAAAAGCCATCAGAAATAAATACTATAATTATAAAAATAGACAAGTGAATTTTTATTTTATTTATTTTTTAAAGATTTTATTTATTTATGCAGACAGAATTGGGGTACAGTGTGGCCAAAGATGCAGAGGTGGTGAGAGGATTCACCAGAGACAGAGTCGAGAGTAGAGCAGGCAAATGGATGAAGTACACGGAAATACACTGCTGAGGGGAGCAGCAGGCGGATCAGGAGACGTCTGCCACGCCATGTGGGTCACTTCTACCACAAGATCTCAGAGGACTGAACTCGCACTGAAGCAGCTGCAGCCAGCTTCCCAGCACCGTGCTTTGACCTGTTGTGCCACCAGGGAGAACCCCAAAGTGAATTTTTAAAATGCAACAATGGACTCTAAACATCTGCTTTGATCCATTGGTTGGGGTTTCTTCTACAGGCTCACAACTTACATTTCCTATAAATCTAATATCCACTACTACAGCATGGGAAATGCAACTGTAGTGTGCAGATAAAGGAGGTAAATCATCGTCTACGAAGGACACAAGAGTCCCTGACCAAAGAGATTATTTATGAAGCCAAACAGAAGGAACATGTCTAATTTTATATTTAATTCAACACACATTAAGTTTGCTAAATGCAAATATAACAAATGGGAAAGAAAAGTAACAGACAATTCTAAAGGGATGCTATCTAAAGTTTTACAATAACCCTCAAGTAAAAATGATCTCATAAACTTTAATCAAATATCTGTAGATTTTAAACTTCAAGAAACGGAATAAAAGCTTGAAACACAATCTTTAGCTATGTTAGTACTTTTACATATGGAATTAGACTATGAAGAACTTAATTCTGCAGAGTAGTTTGTCATTTAAAACTTCTAAGGGGCCTCCCTGGTAGAGCAAGGGGTTAAAGTGCAATACTCCAGCCATTGTAGCATTAGTTTGACCCCAGACCTGGAAGATGACCCACATGTCTGCCCACTGCCCCCTCAGCATTGTATTTCATTCGAGCTGCCTGTTCTGCTCCCCACTCTGTTTCTGGTGAATCCTCTCATCCCCCTGTGAATCCTCTCATGACCTGTACCCCAGTTCTTATAAGCCTAGGCAAATACATCTTAAAATAAATAAATAAAAACTAGCGAATAATAGTTGTCT